TCTCTCCCATTGATATTTTGCTCTCTTTCTCTCTCTCCTTCCCTCCCACCCCCCTTTAAAGAAAAAACAATAGAAAAATATCCTTGAGTGAAAATTAATAAAACAAAAATAATCTGCGCTAATCAGTTTGGCTTAGTGGATAGAGCGTCGATCTGGGAACTGAAAGGTCCCAGGTTCATTTCCGGTCAAGGGCATGTACATTGGTTGCAGGCACATCCCCAGTAGGGAGTGTGCAAGAGGCAGCTGGTCGATGTTTCTCTCTCATCGATGTTTCTAGCTTTCTATCCCTTTCCCTTCCTCCCTGTAAAAAATCAATAAAATATATATTTTTTAAAAATCTAAACTAGCTTTTCACATTAGCATGTTTATCCAGGTATAGAAAAAATTATACTTATAATAACTTTTAATGCACTGAGAACTTATTTGGGGCCTTCAAAAATGGAATAAAATGTTCCTTTATTTAATAGTTGTTCAAGGGTAAACTGTATATTATAAATTTACATAAAGCATAGGTACACATAAAGATATAGATAGTATATTTAAATAAACATATGCAAATATTCAATAAACATCCACAGAAAGAATAGATACAGATAGAGAAATAGATAAGTAGATAATAGATGAATGGATGGATGGATGGATGGATGGATGAATCATCTTATTCCTATGCCTGCTTACAGACTGCAAAAGAGAGGGGAATTTAATAACTTTTTCATTTTATAGCATATATAGATTCAGTATATGGCACATATAATTTCTCATATTGCCCTGGTTAAAATGGTTCACTAGATATTTCTTGTGAATAGGTATACACACACACATATACATACACATATATACATACTGCAGGTATGTATATACATGTAGTTATTTTGAAATGAATTCTATGAAACCAGTTTTGAATAAAAATGTCTAAAGTACTATAGTATTATAGTCATGTACACAACAGATATAAATCCTACATAATAAAGAGGTAATAGGCAAACTGACCATCACTCCAACATACAAAATTGCCACCCCCATTGGACACAAGATAGCCACCACAAGATGGCCAGCAGAAAAGGGCAGTTGTAGGTGATCAGGCCAGCAAGGGATGACAATTGGGAGGAACCAGGTCTGGTAGGGCAGTTAGGGGTGGCTAGACCAGCAGGGAAGGGCAGTTGAGGGCAAGCAGGCCTATAGGGGAGGACAGTTGGGGGGGACCCAGGCCTGCAGGGGAGGGCAGTTAGGGGTGACCGGGACAGCAGAGGAGGGCAGTTAGGGGCAATCAGGCCAGCAGGGGAGCAGTTAGGCATCAATCAAGCTAGCAGGGGAGTGGTTATGGGGTGATCAGGCTGGCAAGCAGAAGCAGTTAGGGGCAATCAGGCAGGCAGGCAGGTGAGCACTTGGTAGCCAGCAGTCCGGATTATGAGAGGGATGGCCAATTGCCTGCTTGGGCCTGATCCCATTGGGCAGTCAGGCATCCCTTGAGGTGTCGCAGATTGGAGAGGGTGCAGACTGAGTTGACAGACACCCCCCGCCCCATGCATGAATTTTGTGCACTGGACTTCTAATATATATATAACAACATACATCTGTATAGCCACTATATATATATATATATATATATATATATATTTTTTTTTTTTTTTTAAAGAACCAATATTTTGATATTGCCTTTTAAAGGAGCAGAATTATTGCTTTCCTAAAATATGCAGGCAAAGTGCTGGTCCCTTCATATTGTCATCTAAATTTCATCTTCATAATAACCTAGAAAGTGGAAATAATCCCATTTCAAAGTTAAGGAATTTGAGGCCCCAAATGGTTACATAACTTATGTGTTCCATAATGGCAGGGACAATTTTTATATTTTTCCAGTGTATTATCGGTGCCTTATTATGTCTCGTACATGATAAATATGCAATGAATTTTGAATGGATGGATGGATGATGATGCTCAAAGATAGACAAGTAAATAAAATGATTTTTCTAAGTCCAAAGTCAGAAACAGTTTAAGAACTTCAAAATATCTAATTCAATATCCTTTAAAAAAAAATGTCAAACATGCACCCTTTAAAGTATTTGAGTACCTACTAAAATGCAAGAGTTCACCAGTCACATCATATTACAGCTATGTACAAAGTATGTCATTAGCTTTTACTAGCTTGCCTAATTTAAGATTTAAAGTACATTAAAAATGAAAAAGTAAGTATGAATTAGGGTATTTTACAAGATTAAAAAGAAAAGTAGTTGAGAAACACATAAATGAAATTATTTCTAACAACTAGGTTTGGATCTAAAAAAAATTTGTGAACAAGTTTTTTGTTGTTGTTGTTGTTTTTCCTAAATTTTCCATTATTTGTGGTCCACTGACCAGAGCTATCAAGGGACCTCAATACTGACTCTCATATAGCCATGTTGCCTTCCTTCTTGTTTCTCTTGTTCAAGAAACACAGCCACATCTCCAATGAGTTAAAAACCTAGGTTTTGGTCCTGAGTTTGTCATTAAATCACTGTGTTACATCTGGCAGGTAAGCTTCCCTTGACTTTCAATTTCCTTAAATGTAGGCAGGAAATTTAAACGTATCAATGTTTCTCAAACATGCTTGATTATAAGAATACCAGTGGCCCAGTGCACGAAATTTGTGCACAGGGGTTGGGAGGATGCCCTCAGCCCAGCCTGCACACGCTCCAATCTGGGACCCCTCGGGGGATGTCTGACTACCGGGGGATGTCCCTGTGGGATAGGGCCTAAAACCAGCAGTCGGACATCCCTCTCACAATCCGGAACCGCTGGCTCCTAACTACTCACCTGCCTGCCCAATCACCTCTAAACAATCTGCCTGCAGCCTGCTCATCCCCAAATGGCCCCTGCCAGTCTGCACACCCTCAACTGCCCCCCGCTGGCCTGATTGCCCCAAAATGCCCTTCCCTGCCAACCTCATGGCCCTTAACTGCCTTCTCCTGCCAGCCTCATGGTCCCCAACAGCCCTCCTGTTCTGGCCTCATGACCCCCAACTTCCCTCCCAGACCTACCCAGCCAGAGGCCCTCCACAGCCGGGCAAAGAATGCTTGTCTCATCGCCGGAGCACCAATGCAAGAGTTCTGTGCCCGGCTAATGCCACTGGAAGACAGCCAGGCCGCCCGCCACATACTGTCATCGCATGCAATTGGCTTGGTTACATCATAAATTCCACTTCCAACTCCATTCAGTAGGAAATGTCAACTACCTGGAACTTATGGAATAATGCCTGCTGATTCCCTGTAGATGTCTGAGATGCATATGTGGAAAAAAGTAGGATGTGTGTGTCATATATTTATCTATCTATCTCACAGATGTGCATGCATGTGTGTGCCAAGGATAAAGGACACACAAAATTAAGAGAGTTGACAGCTACACCTCAGGAGCAATGACTGGCAGGAGACTGGCTCTTGACTATAACTTCTCAAACCTATCACAATACATTTACAGGACGCATCCCGCCTGTCATGCTACCTGCTGACAGGAGGCTGGCTTCTTCACTGCAGCTGTTTCATGTGGGTCCTTTTACCCCTGACCTCCCAGCATCCTCGGCCAGTATGTCAGGCATGCTGGTCGTTCACAGGGGGCCATAGCCACAGGCTGTGCAGGCGCCTGAGCTGTCTTCTTAATCACTCAGTGTGGGCAGGCAGAGCCGCCCGAGAGGCTGGCCTCTCCCATGGACACACAGCGGCAGGGAAAGCAGGAGTGAGAGGCCCTCTATACAATGGGTGCTCCCGAGAGCTCCCACTCCTGCCAGGTGAGCTTGTGATCCTCCCAGGTGGGAAGTGAAGCTGAGCGGCTGTGAAAGGTAGGGTCCTCCCAAAAAGGCGACCATGAGGCAGCAGGTAGTACAGGCTTTCCACTGCGTGCGTGGTTTCTGAACTGCATCACCTGGACCTCCCGCCTCTTTAACAGCATGAGACTCAGAGGGCTGTGCCATAGACTCTGCTCTCTGAATGAAATGGCAAGGCGATCATCTGGCACAGGCGTCTTCAAACTACGGCCCGCGGCCACATGCGGCCCGCAGAGGAGTCTGATCTGGCCCGCCAGGTTTTTTGGGCAGTGAGCGCAGCCAAGGTGTTACAGTAGGAATTAGTAGTTCATATAGTCCGGCCCTCCAGCTCTCTGAGGGACCGTGATCTGGCCCCCACTTTAAAAAGTTTGAGGACCCCTGATCTGGCACTACTGGAGGCTGCACTTGGGGCTCCATGAATCATCCTGTCCTTGACCCGCCAAGGGCTGTGAGGCCTGCCAGGTGCCCTGCAGGGCTGCTCCTCCAGACTGCATCAGGCCTGAATGGAAGGCCCTCCCTCCTAGGCTGGGCCCAGAAAGTTTGCCTCATCACCATAGCAATGAACCAAGCATTCCACCAGGCTGCTGCTCACACTGCTTGCTCTCAGCAGCTGCTCCCCCCACCCCCACCCCGGGCCTGGGGGACTCCGGAGGGGCTGAGAGGATTGGGCGCCACCATCTTGGGGCTATGGGCACCACCATCTTTGTGATGGAGTGATGGTTAATTTGCATATTACCCTTTTATTAGATAGTTTACTGAAACAGTATTTTGTGTCCCCCACTCTGAATATACTTGGGGGAGGGAGAGTGAATATATTACCATGTAAATTTTATGATTTTTAAGCCATACATATTCTGCCAAAGTAATCAGTTACTAAATGTTTTCAAATCTGAAAAAGTAGCCTAAATATCATTACTAAGGTATACACTGAAAGGTCTTTCCTGGCACCTATTTCAGCCTGCTTGGACTTTATCATTTACCTTTTTTTTTTTTCATATGCTGAATGGCTAATCTCAAGTAAATAAATATTCATAAATTAGGAAATTCCTTATAAATAAATATTCAAGTACATAAAAAATTTACAACATTCATATTCTTTAAAATTATTGCAATAAATTAAATAACTAATTCATTTTCATTAGAAAGTATCTTTCCTTTTTTTAAAAAAAATACTTGCAACATAAAGGAATAAACAAAAGAATCTTACCTAATCGTAATTCTCCAAAATTTCCACATCCAATTTTTTTTCCAACTCTAAAGTTAGGTCCAACCATTAAAACTCCAGAGGAGGAAGACCCAGGTCCTCGAGTGTTGTGTCCCGACCGACCACTAGGTCGTGCCATTCTATCATCTGATTTGTCCTTGTCTTTCTTTTTATTATCCATATCAAGTTTGCGGTACTCCACTTTGAATTCTTTAATCAAGACAAGCACGCTGAAATAGGGTATTGTGACAGCAGGTACATCACTAGGTAACTGTACCAGGCAGGTAATGTTAACATTCAAATTGCAGTAGGTAGTCAATTAACTGGTGCGTGTTCATCCCATTCGTAAGATTTTTCTCAGTTGTCTTTTCAGCAAAATATGTCTTCAATATTTTCTTTTCAATGATGTGTGCTGATCTTGACAGAGAACTAAAATAATTAGAAAAGAAAATTAGTCAACTTAGAGTATTAAAAAATATATGTTGGGGAAGTTAATAACACAAGTTCAGACAATGGATTATTGCTATTTACTGATGCTCACTATAAACCAAACCACAGTCGACTCAAATTAACCATTATTCTTTATTTCTATAAAGAATATACAGAAAGTTCACAAAAACAAAAGAAAAGAATTAGGGATTCAGTTACTTCTTAAAATTAAAAGAGTAACAAAAATGCATTGAGTGTTTCATAAGCCAATATACATTCACTAACTTAGACCTTCCCACATAAAATCACTTCAATTAAAAAAAAAAACTGTAAAAATTCCAGGAAGTTACTGTAAGATTTTCAATTTAAAAAAAAAAAAAAAAAAGAGAATAGTTTGCAAATTGATAAAAAGTCTTAATAAAAATATCTTCCACATGTTCAAACAATTTCCAAAGTCTTCATCAATTATATATTCTCATTTGATCTTCATTTATTCAAATATTTATTACCCACCAGCTGTACATGGGAATGGTATTCAGAATTGATAATACAAAGATCATTCTTGGTACCTATCAAGAAAGAGAATTAATTTTTATGTAACATCTGAACTAGGCCTTAAAAAAATAAGTATACAGTAATTTGGCAAGGTTAAGAAATGTTGGCAGTCAGCAGCCTTATTAGGCAGAGAAGGTAGGTTTTTAATTTTCTAATATACTGATGAAAACACTAAAGCTCAAAGAAAAATTTCAAAGCTTTTGGAGACTTCTGCCCCATTCATGTTCTCTAGAAATTTCACCCATTAACCAAATCTCAATTCTGCAGTAAATTTGCAAGCTTAAATGTGCCTATTTTTGCTTGAACAATTTGATTCCTATTATTTGCAATTAAAGATACTTTGACTGAAATAGATACTCACTAGTATAGAAACTAGGATCAATATCAAGGCCTTTTTATTCCTATTTCAAAGTTATTATATAATGCAATCATAACAAGTGTTTAAACAAAAAGTATTTTCTGATTTTCAGCAACCCCCACCCAAATATGACATATATATACATGTCATATTTATATATATGTCATATATATATACATATATATGTGTGTGTGTGTGTGTATATATATATATATAAAACATTTAACATACTCTATTTTGCAGGTGAAGCTGTAAACATCTGTTTGGTATATATAAAACAGAATTGAGTGTGACATACACATACTGTTTATTTTGTTTTCTGCCATAATGGAGTAACTGGATACTGAACTTCCCTTCCTGCTAAAACTATAAAACTGGACAAAAACATATGAAGCACTTGCTTTAAAGCATTGGATACTGGCAGGGAAGACTGATCTTTGAAAAATGAGAAACAGGAAAGGTGGGTCTCACCTTCGCCCAAGCTGTCTAACTAGGAACAATTACTGACTCCAGCCCAGGCAGATGAAGCCCAGGCAGCAAACAGTGATCACAGATCAGTGTTTGGAGATGTTAAAGTGAGTGGAATTTGTAGAACATGATGCTGAAGATGAGGCAGTTGTGCAGTTTGGGGGTTAGGGAATGGAAAGGCAGAAGGCTAGGCTACATATGTGAGGGGCAATATTCTGAAATACCTAGCAGACAATGGCTACTAATGGGACAAATGAAGAACAGAGACACTAAAGGCTGCTCTGTGCTGGAAGACCTTAAAGTTCTTATCTGGTCATGAGGAACCTCATTAATATCCCAGGAATTCAGATGAAACACCACAAAGAATAAGTCTTAAGAGTAAAGACCATAACCTAAAGGAGTGATTTTCACCCTTTACATCTCATGGCACACATAAACTTAATTACTAAAATTCTGCGACACACCAAAAAAATATATTTTTTTGCCGATCTGACAAAAAAAAAAGATATAATTTTGATTCATTCACTCCAGATAGCTATTGTTGTGTTGGCTATTGTCATTTTTTTTGACAATCTAAGGGAAAAGAGATCAGTGCCCCTGACTTAATAGAGAGTATGGAATGTTTTAAAAATTCTTGTGGCACACTGGCTGAAAATCGCTGACCTAGAGAAAGAACTACTATAGACTGTTCCAACTGAAGCCTAAAAGCAAGCCTAGACAGGATTGAGAATAGCTCCAATTAGATTAACTGCATTCAGAACATATTTCAACATACTTTTTTTAAAATGTTATTTTCCTTTTTTTTTTTAACTTAATGTAGTTATATTAGTTAACAAAATTATATAGGTTTCTGGTACACAATTCCGCAACACATCATTTGTACAATGTATTGTGTATTCAAGTCTCCTTCCATCTCATTTATCCCTTTCTATACACTTCTCTTCCTCCACCTCCCTCTATTCCCTTCCATCCCCTTCTCCTGCCCCCAGCAATCACCACTGTTATTTGTGCCCAAGAGCTTTTCCTTCTTTTTTTCTGAATTCCTCCACTTCACAACCCACCCAACCCCTCAGAGTTGTCAGCCTGATCTCTATCTGTAACTCTGTCTTTACTTTGCTTGTTAGTTCATTTGTGCGTCAGAATGAGAAATTATTTCAACATACTTGAAAAGACAAAAAAAATCAAGACTCTCAACAATGTTCAATTCATAATGTCGATATACAGCTAAAAAGTACCAGACATGCAAATAAGCAGTGAATGTACCCACAACTGGGAAACAAAGAAAACAGATTCCAAGATTACTCTACTACTAAAATTAGAAAACAGGATTTTAAAACTATTAAACAGTTGATAAAGCCCTATTAAATTAAAGAAATGGAATGAAGCCGAACTCATTAGGATATCATCTATGAATGAAGAAGAAGAAGAATCAAAGTATATACAGTTGTACCTTGAACAACATGAGTGGCTGGAGGTGCCAAATATCTATGAATTATCTACAGTCAGCCCTCCCTCCACCTGTGCAGAGAAATTGAACTACAAGGGTCAATTAAGAAAAATCCAAGTACAAGTTCCAAACTGCATTGTTCAAGGGGCCAACTGTACTAGTTAGTTAGTGAGAAATGAAGCTGTTTTCTACTTTACTCCATCTAGTTCACCACATTCAGGAAACTGTCCATAAACTTATAAAAAGTTTTTCGTTTTTTAAATATTTTTAACAAATTGTATTTTATTAAAATATTTTCTTACTAGGAATCTCAAATAATGCTAATACTTTCCTTATGATAGTACCTACCAAATAATATTAGAATTGCCTAGACCTGGAGAGCATTATGCTGAGCAACATAAGCCAGTCAGAGAAAAATAAGTATCATAAGATCTCACTCAAATGTAGAATCTAATTAAATAAATAAACTAATTATCAAAAATAGACCCACTGTCACAGAAGCATGAACAGACTGCTGAACCTCAGAGAGAAGGCAGGGGAGGGTGGGTGGGAAGAGATCAATCAATGAACTTGTATGATATCGATATATGCATAACCCATGGACACAGACAATGGGGTGGGGAAGGCTTGGGGGAGGGGGAAGCAGGCTGGAAGAGGTTAATGTAGTAAAAAGAAGGACCTATGTAATACTTTCAACAACAAAGATTTTAAAAAAAAAACAAAAAACAGAATTGCCTTCAAGTTTGTCCATAGCCATGGTCAGCAAACTCCAGTCAAACTTCAGGCTTACTCCGGCCTGTTGCCTATTTTGTACAAGCTACAAACTAAGAATGATCTTCACATTTTTATATGGTTTGGGAAATAAAAGGATTATAATATTCCTAGACACATGAAAATTATATAAAATTCATAATTTTAGTGTTCATAAATAAATTTTTATGAAGATGAATCCATGCTAATTTGTTTATATATTGTTATGGCTGCATTATGCTGTAAGAGAACAGTTGAGTAGTTGCGAGAGATCCTATGTGGCACTCATCATTTTACACTGCTGCCCAGCATATCACAAACTGCAGTAACTACCATGCTTTTAAATGGAGTGTAGATTATGTATTTCAAGTTAGATGGCAAAGTGTTGTGTTTATTATATAATGACACTACACTAAAAAATACAATATACTTGGACTCAAAAGTATTAGTATTCTATTGTTGCATAACAAATTATCAAAAACTTAGCAGCAATACACATTTATTAGCTCACAATTTCCGTGGATCAGAAGTCTGGATATGGCTCAGCTGAGTTATTTGCTTGAGTTTTCACAGGCTTCATTCATGGTATCAGCCAGACTGCATTCTCATCTGGGGACTAAAGTTGGAAAGAATCCTCTTGCATGTTCCTTCAGATTGTGGGCAGAATTCATAACCTTGCAGTGTGTGAATGAGGGGCCCAGCTTTTTGCCAGCTCTCCAGATGGAAGCCACCCTCAGGTCCTACAGGGTACCTGCAGTTGCTAGAAGCTGCTTACAGTTCCTTGCCACAAGGGTTTCTCTGACATGGACACTTGGGTACTTCTTCAAGCCCACAAGAAGAAATTCTGGCTCCAATATTTTAAGAGTAACTCTTACATAAGGTAACATAACCTTCCCTCATACTTAAGTCCCAATCTTTGAACCCTTCTCCCAGATCTTGGGATCTTTGCTATCCAGACCTCTTTGATGCTGCCTGTCTAATACTAACTAGAAAGAGCACAGAACTAGGGGGGGGAAAGAGTCTTGGAATCCCAAATAATTATAAAACTTTAGACAAGGCTTAATCTGTCTAATCTTATTTTAGTGATTTTAGTGATTGTAAAATAGGAGGATTAGACCCGGAGATTTCTAAAGATACTTTTATATTATGCACAATATGATAATTACTTATTATATCTGATTACAAGAACTCTTATTTTATGTAACTGTGATCTTTGAACCTAGCACACTGCTGGGCCCTAGGTCAGTCAACAGCTATCATAGAATCATAAAGAAATTATTTCCATCTCTAAACATTTCTAGGCTTCAGTTGCATGATTTCTAGCTAAAGCCCTCCCGGTTACTTATCATTAAACCCCATAACAGGCTCTTCATTCACCTGAAGCACATCACCAACCCCACATATGCCAACCAAAGTGCGACAAGCATTCCTAAGTCACTTCCTGGATGAGATGGCATTCCCTTGCCTGAATTATTCTTCTAATACTGTCTATATTTCTGCCTTTCGTACTGATTCATCCTAATGCCAAAGAAAACTCAGTTCTAAAAACTAGATATTCTTTTAGTTATAACTGATACCTGAAGCCTCAGAGTCACAAATCCAAATGCCTAAATGGCAAAACAGATAACATAAATGAATGAAACAAGCAAAGTGTAAGACAATAAGGAATATTGGACCCTAGCCGGTTGGCTGTGGATAGAGCTACAGCCTGCAGACTGAAGAGTCCCAGGTTCGATTCTGGTCAAGGGCACATGCCCAGGTTGTGAGCTCGATCTCCAATGGCGGGGGGTGGAGGGGAGGCTTCAGGAGGCAGCCAATGATTCTCTCATCATTAATGTTTCTATCTCCCTCTTCCTTCCTATCTGAAATCAATAAAAAATGTATTTTTTTTAAAAAGGAATATTAGGAGCTATGGCAAACTGGAAAGCAATTACCCCATTTTAAAAAGGGCAGACATTACTCAGCCGTAAACAACTATTACCATTCAAGAATACTAGATATTCCAATTTTTCAATAAAATCCAGTAACCTAGATTTTTTATTTAAATTCTCTTCAGTTGCCCTTTGCTGAGCACTTACTCTGCTAAGTACTTAGATTAAGTCATCAATTCTCACAATCATAAGATACTATTGCAATCCCTAATTTTACCAATAAAAACCCTATAATTTAGAGAAATTACACTATTTGACCAGCATCATAAAATTACTAAGTGCTGTAAAAAGAATATGATTAAAAAGAATTGTATTCCTGATGTCATATTCTTATCCACTTTACCTCTAGTTTTTTTCTTGCTAATTTTGTGACCTCCCTGTGCTTGTCTATGTAGATCTGCAGTATAGATCAGCTCCCCTTGCCAGCCTATACTATAAGTATATACCACACTTCAGTGTTGCCAGCTGATAATATAAATGTATATAACACCTCAATGCAGTCTAATTTGAAACAACCTGAGGGTGAAGTGGGGGGAACCCCCCACTAGTCAATAACCCCCATTCATGTACACAGGTTTCAAGACATGTATAAACAGAAAGACTATATATAGACACAGCAAAAAAAAATACAAATCATTAATCTACAAAATTGCAAGGTGTTCTTACTATGATATACTCTTCTATGGCAACATTCGATTTTTATCAGTAACTTGGAATACCTATTATCAATACAGAGACTTAGAGGGAGATAAGAAATATTAACAAACTTTAGAAAGATAGAAGAAAAGAAGCATGTACTGACAGATGAAACAATGAAGGAAGCTAATGCCCAAACTAAGTGCCAGAGAAGACCACAGCTGAGGAAGGCCAGACAGAAGTCCAGAAAGGCTTCCTAAAGGAAATAGGTGAAATGGTAAGCAGCGGAGGAGAGTGGAGGGAAGTTATGTAAAAGACAAAAACAAAAACAAATATCTAAAGAAACCAAAGAAAGTTCCAAAGGGAAATGGGGAGTAGGGGAGGCGTGGGGAAAGAGAATATGTTGGTATCAGAAAGTAAAACCTGTTCCGATCTGGCATTTTGAAAAACTCCTTGCTTAAAGACTGGTTCCCTGAGTGCTCACCCTATGAATTGACTGGTCTGTGAACAACATCCATGTACACAGGTCCCCAAGAGATTGATGAAAAAAAGATAGCAAGAAAATCAAAACCACTTACCCAGAAATATTAAACTAACCCATCATTCACAAACACAAACTGACAATCGAGAATCACTAGATGAGTGAAGAAAGCTAATGAAAGAAAAATAACAACAAAAAAAGCAAGTACAAAAAAGCTGAAGGAAGCAGATCAAAAATCAGAAGAGAAGAAAAACAAAAATGAAAACCATTAGATCTTCAGAGGCTTTGGAGAACAATAATAAGTACATAGGCTAAAAAATAATAATGCCACATTAAATGATAACCAAAATTAAAATGGGGCAACAATTCTAATATGTAAAATAAAAATACGAGAAACAAAAAAATAAAGGAAAAAAGACAAAAGAAGACATTCAATACCTCAAACTTTCAACTAATAGAAATTAACAGAGAGAACAAAGAAAATTTAGTAAAGAATTTTCAAAAAGAAATTTTCCTGAGCTAGAGAAAAAGGGGCCCAGAAAGTGCTAATCAAGAAAAAAGAGTCACACAAAAATACTACTTAATTCTACTACAAATCCTAACAGTGAATTAATGGTTAATTGATTTTAAACTTTTAGAATCCATATTGTAGCCCACAAATGCAAGATATATGTGATCGAAGAGAATATAATTTTTTCACTCTTGACAGTGTTAAAATAACACTACAATTGACAGACACTCAGCTAAGGGGGAATAGAAGAGGTAGAAGGAAGTACAGGGAGGGATACGAATATCTGTTCCTTACAAAGTACACAGTAAAAAGATAACAAAAAATTTGCTAGAATAAAAAATAGAAATATAAGGTCATTATTTAAAGAGTCAAAACTAAGCAATAGATGAAGTAAACATAACTACCCAAACATTTAAAAACTGAATGGGAAGTGGGAGTTAAAAATCTCAGTACCCTTAGGTATAGAATTCTATATATTGATAATAAAAGGGTAATATGCAAATCAACTGAACAGCGGAAAGACTGGTAGCTATGATGTGCACTGACCACCAGGGGGCAGACACTCAGCACAGGAGCTGCCCCCAGCCCACAGGAATAGATTGCTGGATCAGAGCCTGCTGGCCAACCTTTTGGTCCCTTCCAATTTGGGTGATGGGGAAATGGGGGAGGGTTGGGGGGAAGGGGGCAGGGCCAGCTGCGAGGAGCCAGGGAAGATGGCCCTTATTGCAGGCCAGGACAAGAGACTGTATACCCATATACAAATTTCCTGAGCCGGGCCTCTAGTTAAAATATAATGCATCTGCAAACAAAATTTTACTTCTCCCTTTCCAATTCAGATACCTTTTATTTCTTTTTCTTGTCTAACTGAACTGGCTAAAACTCTCAGTACTGTGATGGAAGTGGTGAGAGTGGGAATCCTTGTCTCATTCCTGATTTGAGGGAAAAGCTTTCAATTTTTTGCCATCGAGTATGATGTTAGCTGTGGGCTTGTCATAGATGAACTTTATTTTGTTGATATTCATTCATTCCATAATTAATATATTGAGAATTTTATCATGAAAATGTATGTTTTTATCTTTTAAAAAATACAAAGACTGAAGAGTTGAGAGAAGAGGCAATTACTTATATATTTCAGTATTATTTTAATATTTTACTTTATATAGGCATTAGTTTAATTACTTATTTTATGAACTAATTTTCATCCTAAAGTAATTTTAAATAAACACTTTCAAGCCTTGATAAGAATATTTCAAATGATTAAAAAGTAAAGTATTAAGTGACTCTACAAACCACAATTTTTGTTTTGGTTTGCTTTATTTTGCTTTGCATTGCTTAGAATGAAAATAGTCACCAATACTGGAGACAGTTGTGGAGTTCTTAAGCTTAAATCCATCGATCTCCTGAGAAAATCCAACTCCTACAGAGTAGCTCAGGTAGCTCAGTTGGTTACAGCATCTTAAACTGTGGGTTCAATCACTGTTCAGAGCATATACAAGAATCAACCAATGAATGCCTAAATACGTGGAACAACAAATCAATGTTTCTGTTCTCTCTCTCTCTCTCTCTCTCTCTCTCTCTCTCTCTCTCTCTCTCTCTCTCTCTTCTTTATCTTCTTCTTCTTCCCACCCAGTCTCCTTTTAAAGATTAATAAACTTAAAAAAAAAATTTAGGAGAAAATCCATAGCTTTCAACCAATTACCAAAATATATGGCCCTAAAAAAGTTAAGAACTACTAAAATGCGTATTGTTATTTTATTTTTCTCACTGAATTACTTTGAAACATCTAAGTACACGATCTATTCTAAAAGCTAAATAACTTCTGTACTTTACTTAAAAGCCAACAATGTTATAGAAAAGTATTTAGGGCAACTTATAATAGACACACACACACAGAGAGAGAGACACTCACAAAAGGACTGAGAAATCAGAAAGAAAGTAAAATAAAGTTAGAAATAAACTATGTAGCCGGGACCGGTTTGGCTCAATGGATAGAGCGTCGGCTTGGGGACTGAAAGGTCCTGGGTTCGATTCCGGTCAAGGGCATGTACCTTGGTTGTGGGCATATCCCTGGTAGTGGGTGTGCCAGAGGCAGCTGATCGATG